GCTGGTGGGTCCCTTCCAAGATCTTGTAATTCCTGCAATTTGATAACACAAAATAAAGAAAATTTGTAACAGGAGTAACCTTTAATATTGCAATAGAAAGCATAGAACAGACAGCCAGATAACAATGTTGACAGCAAAAATGTTAGTGAAAGAGAATATAATACTGATGAAATGAGTAACTTGGATACTGAATTGCTTAAGTATGTTGCCAAACATAGGATAGTTATAAACAGAAATCAATGATCAGATTTTAAAAGGATCTAAACCAAAAAAACCTAAGATAACGATTTTATTAAAAACATGCCATGTTTAAACTAATCATTAAGTGGTTCAGGTTATGAAATGCTTTAAAACGAATTTTAGAAGTCATTAAATATTTAAAAAGAAACATCTAATTTAAAGAAAAACATTTGACATGGAATAACATATCAATAGTTTTTGTTTCCTCTTTTGACTAAAAATGGGAGTCTTCAACCTTCCTCCAATATGATCTTTAACCACCCTGTTCCAGTGATAGTTTCATATTGTACAAATCAAAATAAGAGCTGTTGATTCAACAGTAATAAAAATGAATACACAACAAGACGAGTTAAGATTTCAATAAACTTAAGAGCCCAAAAAAAATATTGATTTCAAATATTAAATAAATGCTGCCCTTCATACAGACAAATGGTTGTAATCAACTTACTTTAAACACAATATCGTATTAAAACACAGACCTTAAACATCCATGAGCTACTCACCTTATTTATTCTTTTTAACGCCATGTTATTGTGTGAATTTAATATATAAAGCACTAACTTATTACGGACAACGAAACCGCTATCAAATAGACCTAAGATTGGGAAATTCAAGATGGCTGCTTTGCAAGAGGTTTATTCAGCTTAATATTAGAGCCAATGACCTACCAATTACACTTTAAAGCCTCAAAAATAATTCATATTAGAAAAACATACGATACTTATTAAATTATAAAAATGTAAAATTTATAAATTTCTTCCAACATAAAAGAACTTGAGCTTATTCTATATAATACGATCTATTTTGGTTAGTTGTCAGATGGTATTACCACCTGGTTAAAGCGGTTCTTTTGAATAACCCAAGAAGGAATATCGTTCGATTAAATTAATTCATGCAAATGAAATAATTTAATCTGATAAGGTCTCTCATTTTGTTCTTGAAAGCCTTTTATTCCATTTTAAAAATAAAATTGTATTATTCAATTATCATTATTAGCTATGTTACCTATAAAGTATGAATAAGTATATAATATAAATGATATTTTAAAATGATCAAATTTATACAAAATACGCCTTTAAATAGAATGTTTTATTTCCGGAATGCTGTATTTTTTTTCTAGTTCTTTTGTTTGTAGTGTGAAAAAGTAGTTAATGAACTAAAATCCATTATTAATTTTAGAGGAATCACACATTGGTAAAATATACTTACAGTAGTGATAAAATAATATTATAAATACATGATAATTAAAATCTCAAATTAAAACTTTTCACCTTGAGTTATTTAATAAATTATTTTCATTTTAGTTCTTTTTCGTTAGGAAATATATAGAAATGAAAATATGAACTTCTTATTTCCAAAAATTGGTTCTAATTTCGCGTTTCTTTGAGCCACAGTCTTATCAAGACCAAATAATTCTTTTTTTTTAATCAGTATAGATTTTGTGGTATAAGTTGAGTCCCCCACGAAATAAATTTCTACCTGCCCACACCTGAATTGAACCGGAACACTGTGGTGCGAGCTTGTAGGATTGTTGGACATTGGCTCCAACCTACTCCTTAAATTTAGTGAACTACTCAAATCTTGTTTGTATAAGTGTTCGAGAGTTTATAATTTGAATTCTAGCCATTGGGCCGACAAAATGAATACAATAATAAATACTAATAAAAAAAAAATTTCATCGATTCAATCCTGTACAAACTAATTATTTTTAGTTTAAAAAGTTAAGTTAGTATATATGAAATATTACATTCACAATAGCCTGGACGGACACTGCTGCATGACTAAAATCGTTTACTATAAAACAATTATAATTTGTTAAGAATATACGCCAATATATTTTATAAATAAATTTATTTTTACTTATGAAATTGTACTTTGAACCATATTTTATATTATGGAACCGAAATTGATAAACAAACAAATTGCTAAATATGGTTCTAATGTTATCGATCATAACTAAAAAATAACTTATAGACTAGATAATACTATTGGAACTAGTAAGTGAAGCTAAACCTGCCCCTGATAATACCAATACGTATAAATGCCAATATTTCTATAATTAACTATTTTCTATTTATTGTTTATTTTTAGTGCCTCTATCCCGAAGAGCCATAATAATTTCACGCAAAATAAATATTTTAAAAAATATTGTTGTTAAGTACAAATAGATTGTTTCTGATTCACGCCTTTTTTGTATTTTGAACATTAAATTGTTTCGATATTTCATTAATTATTAATTATTTCAAAATCAGCTATATTGCAGTAAAACATAAATATATAACAAAGTATATATGTAATTATAAAACAATATTTGGTTTCATTATTAAAAACTAAACTTTTAAACTCGTGATTTCTTCAATATATTTTTGTAATCTGTAATATAATGCAATAAACGTTACATAATTAACAACTGGGTCAACAATCACCTGAATAAATTATATAAAAAATTAAATAAATAAAATGTTAGTGATTCCAAGTTCAACGTTCCCGCGTGTTAAATCCTCAATAAATTCCGAAGTGGCCAGGTTTGAGCAGGATCTGAAAACTATTTTTAGAAATTCAAACCTTTATTAAATCCAGGGGCTATGTAATTTTTCGGTAGATTTGTAAAATGGAATCTAATTTCTTACGATTCTTTAAAGAGTCATAATAATTCTATGTATTTTTAAAAACCGATGTTTCAACTTTCTTAGTATTTCTAAGAAATACTAGTATTTCCTTATTATGTCCAGCACGTACCAATATACTTAAGCACTCTTAATAAAAAATATTATTTTCCTTTCTTCAATTATTATCTTATATTAAGGCCTTATCAATGTGACAATTACGTCGAAAGTTGCCGGGTATGATATGACGTTACTTTGTCGGTGCAGTCTTGTTGGGCATTGGAAGAAAAAACAACAGTTAAAATTTGGAAGTTTGATGGCAATAGTCAATTAAATAACGAGAAATTTAAAAAAACAAACGATGATGATTAATATAAAGAAGAAATAAGACTATTGTCTTATATTAGTAGTATGATGAATAAGTCAATGGTTCATTACTTAAGAACATTTCAAAGTAGCCATCTCAAATTATCCTCTAAAAAATTCAGGATGTCGCTCATCTTACAATAGGTTCATTATCTTCTAAATTCACTTGCAGTTCTTAGATAGTAATATTTTAACAATCTGTAACCATTTGTAATTTATGTATACATAATTATGGAAGGATCCTTAAAACGGAACCAGAGATGGACAAATCCTACTGTGAGTACAGAGTACCAAGTATTTTACTCAAATACTGACCTTTTTTGAGTACCAAAGAATTTAATTTCTACTTCAGTTGATGTCAAAATATAAACTGAAGTACTGATTGAATTCTCAATAGTGATTCAATTTGTTTAAAATACTTGGTACTGGGTACTCAGAGTAGCATTTGATCATTTCTGGCTAGAACTAGGGAAGAGCAAAGAAGGGACTTGCTCCTGAGGGCATATTTCAAATAAAAATATAATTAGCTTAAGAAAAACTTATGTTTATACGTTTTATAGGAGCTGTTGATATTTATTTCAAAATATTTTACCCAACATATATCAGCAATTATTCATTTATAAGCTGTAAGAGGAAGAAAACAACTGCCTCCTTGATTTTGTATTTTTTAAATGTAAACAGATTCAAATTAAACTATGGTCTTATACCAATTGGAGTTAAATGGTTCAGTATGTAAGACTGAAATACTATCTCTGGGCACATTTTCAAATCACGTCTATAGGAAGTGTAATTGAATTGCTGTTTTTATAGCAGGACACCCTGTGCTGGTTATTTTAGATGAAAAGTTAAAAGAATGAAGATGAAAATAACCAGACAAAACAGACTATTGTTGTGTTTTTGACTCCTTAGACCATTCTATACTCTACACTAAATTAAAATCTTTATCCTTCTCCAGCAGCTCTATCCTTTGTTTTCAGTCTTTCCTTTTTGAACGGACTCAAGCAGTTAGCATTCCGAAGCAACACCTATCTTCCTTCCTAATTTGATATTCATGTATATGTATGATTACGATAATGAATATTTAATAATTATTCTAAAATAATTATTTCTTTTAAAATAAAGTTTATAGTTCTGTATTAATTTTTGTAAAATAAACCACTTTAAGTTATAAATATTTTATCTACACTCTAATATGTCTACAATAACTAGTATATTGTATATATCTGGAAAAAAAAAAATTATATGGGCTTATAGAAAAACGCCCAAAACCCTGCTTGAATTCATGGGTTGTAATGGTATTTCTTTATTCTTTAAGAACGGAACTTTTCTTTGTTGTTTTATTTTAACTATTAGCTGTATGTATCAGTAATGAAACAGAATATTGATTTTACTTCAAATGAATTTACTTTTATTTTTTATTTATCAGTGAACTCTGAAATGTGTATATATATGAAGGGAGATACAAAAATCCTTTCTTCAAACAATCGACATACATTCAAAGTTAGGTGGTCTTTAGAACAAGAAAGAATTTATCAATATTTTATTAACAAAAAAAAAAAAAATGACGAAATGGACAGGGAAAAATTAGAACAATAACAGTTTTAATGAAAATATTTTATTCGAAAACATTTGTAACAAATTGTTTTGAAAAATTAACTGTATAGCTAATATACAAAAAATAACAACTACTAGTTCCAAAATGATTTACAATTTTTAACTGAATATAATAACTTCACAAATTCACAGCAAATAATATTACCTAAGAGTGTATACGTATGTTTGGCATCAACTCGAAAAACACAATGATGGCATATACATATTTAATTGGGTATATCCTATGATTGATGAGACTTGATTAAATCCTGTGATTAATATAAACGGAGTAGTAAAAAAATAAGTCTTTAGATTTTTTTACAGTTTTAGCCAGCGGCTGTACACATGTGCTGTTCCTCATGTTGAAGAAAAATGTGCTGGATAGTATATGAGAGTTTCTTGACCTCCGCTTTCGCTTAGCATCTTTGAACTTCCACCTGAAACGTTAAGTGCCGATAATTTCTTGAAAAAAATATTTTAAGTTTTATTTATACTCTTAGCCATTTTATAATTAAAGAAATATTTTTTAAAAAAATTAAGAAGACCAATGATTATTTAATGTCAAATCAAGATAGAGTCTGAACTCATCTCAGATTTTCTTGAAGTTTGGTACCGGTGTTATGTTGCTATAGATTTGGAAAAATATAAAATCTTATAAAGTTACTATAGTTTCTATTAGTATCTACTAGTTTTTTAATTACAGAACTATTAACTTCTCTTATATTGAACAAAAAATAGATAACAGTGGAAAGTTTCAAATTTGCTGTAAAAGTTATCCTAATTTAGTTAGATGATGAGAATGTATAGATTAAGATTAAAGAAAATTGATTAAAACCTAACAAAAAAAATAATTTTTTCTTAGCAAGTACACATTATAAAATTTTGTAATTTTATTCCTGAAATACTTATTTTTGTTATAAATCACAAGAAAAAATGTATAAATTTGGGATGACTATGGCTTCAGTGTGTTAAAAGAAATTGAAGAATGAAATTCCATTTTCAATTCTGTATACATATTAATTACAACAGTGCTAATATTAAAATAAGCGCGAATAAAAATTCACAAATAAGTACTATAGTTCAATAGCGTTGACTGCCAACTTGGTAATCAGTCTAAAAAATAAAAAAATAATAAAATAAAAAAAAAGATAAAAATAAAAATTTTTTACATTACAAAATTGAATATTTCTAGATAATATTCACAAAAACCACTAATATATTTCAACATGTACATGCAGGTACTGTAAACAAACACAAAAGACAAACATGTAATCTGCAAATCCTTATACACATACAAAAAATTGTGTTTTCCATATATAGTTCTGCTTCTTCTTAATAACACTATTTAAATTAATCTAATTTCATATCTAACGGTATGGTTACATTTTAAACCCCAAAATAAAGGTATAATATGATAAAATTAACACATTAATTGTCTTTCATATTTTTCTTTAAGTATCGAATAATAATAATATCATAGAACAATTTTTTTTTTGTTACAAATAAATTTAAAGTAAAATAATTATAATTTACTACGAATTAAACTTTATATTACACAAACAATATGGTTCCAAATATACTTATGTTCTATTTTCACAAGTATAAATTCAAAGTAAATCTTACATAAAAAGTTTCCAATACAATATAATGATTAGCAAATAGTTACAGTTTAGATTTGAAAAAGTACTATATATGGTTCAAAAATTATTTCGATTAAGATAAATATAACAGTAAAAGTGTTTTAGATCAAAAGGTTCATACCCTTTTTGATATATAATTAGATTAATTAAAATATTTTTATAAAACTGAATGAAAAAGCAGCATTTGAATAGTAACAAGAAAAATATTACTAATTGAAAAATAAGAAAAGAATATTAGAATTTCGACCAGAAACAAGAACTAGTTATAAACCTTTAAGTTAAAATGTAAATGATGATGCCAATCAAAGCAGAAGAGTTAAATAAACATGAAGTAGTTACATAATTTGAGAAATGAGAAAAATATACTTACATGTTACATAAATGAAAAAATCAAATAATGATTCATTACAAATAGACACCTTGTGTAATCCTCATGCTAAATTTATAATAAAAGTTATTTACATTAAAATATTATAAATTAAATCTGTGATCTACCTCTACAACAGGGCCGAGCAATTCAATTATATCACATGAAATATGAATATTTTGGGATAACATTAATGAAACACAAAAGATTATAATTTACTTTTTGTAGCATATACTTCTTTTCTTCAAAACAATTCTTATGGTTAAAAATAATAGTAGAATTATTATTATTAATGTAGAATGTTTTTAAATATCTTCTTTAAAAAAGTTGAGAGTCAAAAAGGAAAATAATCTATATAACACATTTTGTATCCTACTGTTATTGGTATAATGTTTGGCTTAGTAAAAAAAAATCTACGGTGAGTGCTTAAGACTGCATGACAGAAGTGAAAACATCAACAAGATGGACTTAATAATATGAAATATATACAATTATATTCTTGTTTAATTTACTCTAGTAAACTTTGTTCTGACTCATATTCATACTAAGTCAGTATCATACTATAAAAATGAAACAATAAATTTATTATAACTAAAATATGTGATGATCGTATATTCTCATTATTTTAGTACGATTCTTCATATTTAATATGGAATTCGTTCTGATTTGGGTTTTGACACTATATTGTTTCCTTTTTGCCTCTCTAATATGGCGTCACATCAATGCACAATTTTGAATAATACCTCACTACAAAGAGGATGAAATGCTGAACATTTCCCTTGTTTACAGTATTCAGGTCTCACTTTTAGCTCTTGAGATATTTTAATCCATTTGCAAAAACACTTCAATTAGTCAACTTCAGCCGACTTTACCCGAGCATTACACATCGGAAATCTGACGGCTCAATCTAATTCTCAGTCTCTATAAAGGCTGAGTGTGCCCGAAAGAAATTTCATTTTTTACAATTAGATGGACTTGAGAAATTATATTTACAGCTGTTTGAGACACTTTAATCTTTGTAGAGGCCGAGTGTGCCCGAAAGAAATTTCATTTTTTACAATTAGATGGACTTGAGAAATTATATTTACAGCTGTTTGAGACACTTTAATCTTTGTAGAGGCTGAGTGTGCCCGACAGAAATTGCATTTTTCTTATGTCCCTTATAGTTTATTATAATTAGATCAAGTTGAGGCATTATATTTACTGCTGTTTGAGACACTTATATCTTTTTAGAGGTTAAGTGTGCCCGATTACTTTTTCGTTTTCCTTATGCCCTCTTTAGGTGTTTTTTTTTTTTTTGTAGTTAGACAGATTTGAACTTTCAAATGAGTAGGGAAACAAAATGAAAATTTGGGCACACTCAGCCTCTATAGAGACTAAAGTGTCTCCAACAGCAGTAAATATAATGCCTCATGTCCGTCTAATTATAAAAAAACAAAAAGGGACATGAGAAAAAATGAAATTTCTTTAGGGCACACTCAGCCTCTATAGAGACTAAAGTGTCTCAAACAGGAGTAAATATAATACCTCATGTCAGTCTAATTGTAAAAAACAAAACATAGACATAAACAAAAACTAAATTTAGAGTGAATAATAGGATTTTTATTATGGTTATTTCATTCCCTTTTGCTTCTATCAGAATGATTATTTCAGAAATAATTATGTCATTAATCCTGAAATAACTGAGAAAGGTTATTTAACGATTTATTTCGGAAATATTATTTCAAATAAATTTTGCCCAAGTCTAGTATAGATCTTACTCATAGCTTATATAAGATTATCTATTGAATATACACTATATAACTTGTGATCCACAAATATAGATTTCAAAGTCTCCAGTCAGTTTTTGTTTTATTAAGTATACCGGACTAAATAAATTCAAATAGTGAAAAATGGTTAATTTGGTAGAAAAAAAGGATAATTTACCTCACATAAGTTTTATTTGTCTGTTGGAAAGTTGAGGTATAAGGTAAATGGTTCAAGCAAAAAATAATTTTCTTAAATGGGCATGAGGTTCATTTAAAAAATATGTATCAAACAGAACTGTTGTTAATGAGAAGTTAGATAAAGTCTGTTATAAGAATCTGAATAATGTTTATGCAATATCTCTTACAATATATTAAGTTACAACAACTAATTTTGAATGATAACATTATCTTTAGTGGTTTGTGGCTAGAAACGTTGTTTCTAGTTTAACTAGAATATTTGTATGTTTTAATTAAATAATGAGTTATACATTAATGATTATTTGTAATTAATATACAAAGTTTAATTTCTTGAAATATTTTTTAAAAACGATTTGAATGATTATAAAATTAGAACATTATATTATGCCGTATTTATTTTAAAATATTTTAATCATGCACAAAACAATCAAAATACAAATTTTTTTTCTCTAAATTTTATATTAATTCAGTTCTGAGAAACCAAGTTTCACAAATTAATGTTATACTTCAACTATACGAAGATTTGACTATAAATTTGAAATTTATTTTTTAATGAAATTTTAATTTTACTTTCAAGTATAAGTTCCTGATCCTGAACTTAAAATAAAATTCCGTTATCTAATATTAATAATTGCTATTAACTAATTTAACTAACAAACAGGTTATTGAAAATAAACTGAATTTTCAATGACTGAAATAAAAATGCATACCTGAATATCTATTTCAAAAAATATGTATTGTTTTACTAAACCTTGAATGATTTATAGTCATGAACATGACATTATAATTTTTAAAAATTTCATTAGCTGAAAAATATAAAAATGTAATTTTTAAGACTATTTTTTAATTATGACAATAATTACTTTATAAAACAAGCTTTAATTAAAATTTACTTACATTCAGAAATTCTAATATTATTAATAGTTCAATAACCTAATATTTGGTTGTTTAAAATGTTTCTTTTGTTAAAAAGCTATGACTTGTAAGTGAGTTTTGTATTGGTTAAAAATACAAAACTTTCATTATTTTTCTATTTTTAAAATAAGTTGTTTGGATAGTAAATATTATAGGAGGTAATATTTTTTACTAGGTTAAAAATTATATACAATGCTTTTATTATTCAGCGATGTGTTTCAAAACATTTAGGTGAAAACTGGAGTTTTCTAACAATCATCGGTTTAAAAGACGTCAATTTTCAAAGTCGGGATAACAGGCTCACTGAAAAGAACGGTAAAATTGACGGCTGAGGTTGGTTTGATTTCCTCCTTCCAGAATGTTTTCATTGTGACTAGTAAGCTCTACCAGTGTTACAACTCATCTCAGATTTAAATTATGTTAAAAAAAAAAAATTAGTGATAGTATGAAGTATTATAGAAATAAAGGTACATTCCACATGATGTATTGAATAAAAAATTAGGGTTGTTTTCAATTTTTGTAGTTAATATTCAACTTAATATAGTATATTTTAATATAAACTTAATTAT